AAGAAGTAACCCTCTTATTATAGTGTCTTATGCATAAATGATGGAGTTATGATATTGAGATTTGATACTTATACTCAGACAATAAAGGTTTTAGTCTCCCTAAAGTGGGTACCCTTTTTTGTTAGTTATCTGACATTAATATATGTCTTCAAATATCTCTCTTCATCATGACCAATTCATTACCAAATCATCTATATTATTTTTCTTTCATTGAAAATTATTTAATTATTATATATAGTAAAAGTATATAGCATGATCTTATGTTGTTTGAATCTTAGAAGGTCTTTCAATAAAAAACCCAGAGCCAGATATTGGGGTGAAAGCTGAAAGATCAGAGAAGCAGAGCAAGCCACAGCCAACCTCACCTTGCCAACTCCTCAATGGATCCTGTTTCACCGAATCCTCAGACTGAAAGCCTCTGAGCCCTCACCCGAGAGGGTCTCAGCTGAACTGCCTTAGTTTCTCTCTCCTCGTGCCTTATATGCCGATCTCCACCCAGCTATGTCACTTCCTAGGAATAAAGGCGTATGTGCTTCCTGGTACTGGGATTAAAGGTGTGTGCCACCACTGCCTGGCTCTCTTTCTAGTGTGGCCTTGAACTAACAGAGATCCAGACAGATCTCTGCCTCCCTAGTGATAGGATTAAGGGTGTGTGCCACTACTGCCTGACCTCTATGTCCGCTGATCCTCAGGCAAATTTATTAGAGTACACAATATATCACCACAGTCTTAAATATATGTGTGTGTATTTATATGCAAATATACATATATATAAAACTATGCCATATACTTTTACCATATACAAGAATTAAATTTGGCCGGGCGGTGGTGGCGCACGCCTTTAATCCCAGCACTCGGGAGGCAGAGCCAGGTGGATCTTTGTGAGTTCGAGGCCAGCCTGGGCTACCAAGTGAGTTCCAGGAAAGGCGCAAAGCTACACAAAAAAACCCCTTTTCGAAAATTAAAAAAAAAAAAAAAAAAAAAAAAAAAGAATTAAATTTGTATTTTTTCTATATTATACATATAGTACACTAATTAGCTCAGTCAATGAACATGTCCATATATAAAATGTCCAATACATAAAATAAATTTTAAAATTATATATATATGTATGCATGTATACAGTACACTAATTACTATAGCTGAGTCAATTAACATTTAACATGTCCATAATTATCACGAGCCATAGTTACTATACATATATATGTATCTGAGAACACAAAAATCTACTCTCATCAAGGTTCAGGTAAACAATATAGTAACTATAGTCAACATTACATTATAGCCCTAGAATATATCCATCTTTTAACTGGGATTTGTTCCTCTTGGCCAATATTTCCTCCCATCTTTTATGACTGAGATACTGGAAACCACTGTTCTTTTTTTTTTTTTTACTTCCATTATTTAAGATTCTATAGATAAGCATGATCACACAGCAGGATAATTTCATTCAGTATATGTCTTTATGAATGGTAGAATGGGAATGCTGCTTTTTTCTTGAATCTGGTCATTTCTCTACATCTGCAATGACTCCACCCTAGTCCATGCCATCATCATCTATCATTTGGACCAGTTCATCGCTCTCCTCCAGTTGTCCTTGATCAACCATTTCTCTCCTTAAGTATGTTCTTCACACTGTAGTTAAAATGGTTAATTTAAAATACAAATGCCCTGGTGCTGGAGAGATGTCACAACAGGGAAGAGCTCTTGTTGCTCTTGCAGAGGATCTGGGATTGACTCCTAGCATGCACATGATGGCTCACAACAATTCATAACTCAGTCTCAGAGGATCTGACCTCTATGAGTATCAAGTACCCTTGTGATGTACACGCATATACACAGGCAAAACAAGTATACACGAAAAACAAAATAAACAGATCTGCTTTTTCAAAAATTTTAAATAATCTCATCTTAAATAATTCAGAATACCAAAATCCTTTCAATGAGAGGTATGCAGTGTCATACATCAATGAAGGTGAGACTTGCCTGTATGGGGGGATGGGGAGAGTGTGTCACTCTATCTTAGGATTCTGTCACCTTGAAGAAAGTGTCATTGTGAGAAGGCAGCCTAGCACAGGTTAGACCTGATGGGAGTAAGTAGAGCATCCATCAAGTGAGCCATTCAGAATGTAATAGGGAATCCAAGCTGGTTATAGAGGAGGAGAGCCAACATGAGTAATGGGAGATGGGTATCATGAAGGAACTCAATGAATAGAGTTATCAAGGATAAGAGAAACCAGGCTTTTCACCATCAGCAAAAAGGGGGAAGAGGATTTGGTAAGGGAAAAAAATTATATAGAATAAATACTGAATCACATAGAATTGCGTTGAAATTACTGATATAACATGGTGGTCTTATGCACATAAACATGAATATTAGTGTGAATCTACATACAGTCTCTACCTCTGCCTACTAAGACACAATAAATACTACAGTACTAAGGAGTATGCCTTAGATCTTGTAATCAAATAACATCTTCAAAAAACCAAGACTTCTTGGAGAAATAGCTACTGTCAGTGCTGAAGTGGGAAAAGTCCTGTTTGGCCTTAAAAAATCCTATTGTGTACTAAAGCACCCATGCTTAAAGAATGGTAAGATTGATAAAATAACACAAAATCTTATTTTTAAGAATTTCAATTGGCCAAATCTAAAACTACTTAAGTATCTAAATAAATGAGAGTAACAGATTCAGTTCATTTCATGAAACAGGAATCCATGAATCCATAAGGATATAATGAGTAAACTGAAAGCTGAACAAGAAGTAGACTATATTTATAGTCTCCAAGTAGCTCCCTACAAAGGACATCTTATTAAATGAAAAATGTAACTTTAGATGGAAAAAATCAAGTTATCTAAGATAACACTACCAAAATGGAAGAAATAAAATTTTGAGACCATCCAATAAGATGCAGTGAGAACACAGTGTCCTTTGTTACATGTCTGTCAAATGTACACAACTTAAATCTAATCATGAAGAACCCTCTGTCAAACCAAAAAAGAAAGGTGCCTATAAAAGAACTTGCCTGTATTCTTTACAAATGTAAAGCCTTGAAATCTAGAAAAAAAAAACTAGAAAAATATTTCCCATTAACAGAGTCTAAAGCACTAGTGTTCTAGATGGGGGAAAAAGCTCTTGACTACATCCTTCTATGAAGACTTAATGATGATTGGATGGACAGAATCTGGTGTTTGTGAATTAGACAATAATAATGTGTTGACATTAACTTCCTGGTTGTAAAGGTTGTGCTTATAAAGGGAAGCAGCCCATCTATGAGAAAATATACACTAGTTTTGGGAGGTAATGGGAGAAATCAACTTACTCCCAAATTAGTGAGAAAAACAAAGTTATTTTTACTATACACTTAATTTTTGTAACTTTGAGATCATTTCCAAATTTAAGCAAAGTCATCATTATATAATAATAGTTCATAAAACTCTTCTTCAGCTTCCCATTGGGAAAAGGGAATTTTTTAAACTATTTAAAGTGAGCTGCAAGATGTTGGGTGGTCTTGACTACTTATCAGTTTTATTTTATTGACTCTTTTGACTTGCTGTAGTCTGTGGTCCTTTTTGTTGCAACATTTTTCCTTCCTAATTATGGATCTTTTTAAATAACTAACCAGCTGATGTATCTCTCCATTATCCAATTTCTTGGGGGCAGTTAGTCTTTGCTCACTTAACCAGCGAGATGTATCCTAGAGATGAGAAAATGGTTTACATATTGCTTTAAAACTGCCTGTTGTCTTCTCACTGCCCTCCCTTTTCTAAGCTTGTGTCCTTTGTATTCTCCCTTCAGTGGTCGCTAAATGATCTAAAATGCCACTTCAGTTCCTCACTTTCAAGTCTTACGAAGCTTCCTTTCACCTAAAAGATAAAGTCTGAATGTATTCACTATGGTAACAAAAACCTACTATCTAGCTTTTACTTAATTCTTCAGTTTTCTGTTTTGCTTTTAAATTTATTCTAAGCAGTTTTGGTTCAGAATGGCATAATGATTATCATCACAGACCCCAAAACTTGATTGCTTAGGTATGATTCTCATTTTCCTCAATTTTTAGTTACCCAGGCACCCTCAACTTTGAAATGTATATAATAGTCAGCCGTATCTCGCAAGATTATTTGGAGAACTGAGTTAATGCGTGTGTACTTAGGCCAGTTCCTGGTACATGTCAACAGCTGTCACTTCGGGCTGCTTCTAATATTTCTGCCTTTTGTTCATGATACTTCCTCTTCTTTCCTTTAATTTATTGGTTTTGCATTAGGCCCTAAAGTCATAAAATTATTAGCTGACATCTGGTTTACTATCCGAAGACTCATTACCAATTTTTACTTATTCCAAATTACGACCATCAGCTTCAGTCGTTTCCTCTTTCAGGGATTTTAAGTGTAGCTATTTCAATGGTCAAAGTGCGATGACTCTAAAAATGCAGTTTCTGTACCAAATCGAGTAGATGGGAGAGGAGAAATAACTCCGTCAGAAGAATGATTCAGAAACCCAGAAATCCTGTAGAATGCTCAATGTTTGCAGATACACACAATTGTAAATAATTTTATTTCTAGGAAGGGTATTTTTTTTTTGTTTTTGTTATTTTGTTTTGTTTTGCAATTATTCTGTCCAGTCCCTTGCAATCGGGGTCAGGTCAGGCGAGTTCTGCACTTTCCCCCAAATCTGCCTTTTCCGCGCGACCCACCCCGGCACCAAACCTCCAGACAGGATTCGCAAAGCCGGATCCTTCTTCCCGGGTTTCCCCGTCGCCCTGGCAACGAGACCGGAAGGGGCGGGCTTTACGGCCTTCCTTCCGCCAGCGGCTAGGCTCGGCCGCAGAACCGCTGTGGGCCGCGGCGGGTGCCTCCCTCCTCTCCGGGTAGGAGCGGGAGCCGCAGCCGCGGCCGCGCACAAGGCCACGTCAACCTAAACCGTCCCGCCCGCCCGCCCCACCCGGCCGGCCGCTGTCCTACCGACTCCCCCCTCCCCTCCCCATCCCACCCCCCCACGCCGTTCCCACAATGCCGCGCGCCAGGCCCCGCCCCGCCGGCGCGACCCGAGCGGCGGTGTTGCTGCGGTGCGCGCTCGCAGCCGCCGGCGTCCGGTCCTGCCGGCTCCCGGGTTCGGCGGCCTAAGGATGGGGCAGTAGCTGAGGACGCCGAGGAGGTGGGCGCGGGCCGGCTCCACGCACCGCAGGGGCTTCGGGGAGGGAGGGAGGGAGGGCGGGCGCCGTCCGCATCCCACCGCCTCCGCGCCGCAGCCATTGTGTCGGGTCCTCGCCTCCCGCACCGCCCCGGCCACCCCACCTCGGCCGGCCACCTTCTGCTCGCACCTCTTCCTCGGCTCTCTTCGCCCGGGTCCGACCTGGGACCTGGGACGCACGCTGGCCAGCCCTGTTCCCCCTGCCCTGTCCTTCCCCGATCCCCGGTCCCGCTCTTGGAGAGATGGCAGCATCCGTCCTTAACATTGCCTTTACCTTCGGCCCTGGGCTGTTCCGTGTGTGACCCACGCTGCGGAGGGCCACCCTAAGCCAAGGGACACCTTATCCCAAATTCCTGACTGGGATTTGGTCTTCATTTGTTTTCCTGTCTGATAGTTGTCAGACTGGAGATTTCTGATTTTTTTATCACTATCATTTACAAAGGTATATTGGGGGGGGGGGGACGAAAAGGAGGGGTTAGAAGTGAGTTGTGAGGCCTGTTCACGGGTAAGGAATTTTTAGACACGTATTTGGACTTAAATGAAGAGAATGGAAATTGAGGATGGTAGGAAAGTTAGGTCTCACACACACACACACACACACACACACACACACACACACACACACACACACACACCGAGCATTTTAAGATCTTAAAGTATACTAGTTTAGCTGTGAGGTGAAATTCTGCGGTTTTATCCTTCACAGGCAAGCATGCCTGGTTCTCATGTTTCTTTCCTTATTTTTGTTTATTTCAGACATGAGTTTTACAGAAAAATTGCAACGATTTGCAACTATTACCCTTTTTTTAAATAAAACAATTTCTTCTCTCAGTGCAAACACTTTAGAAGACTTGGGGTGACCTGCTTTGTAACTAACCTATTTTTATACTGTCATTCTTAAGTTACTATGTACAAGGTACAAAGCCCTTGGAAAAGCTTTATGCTTCCTTTTATTTCCCGGAAAGGTATCCTCTACAAATGAGATTAGATTAAAAATAAAGTTGAACAGCTTTTGAGATGGAGAAGGAGCTAAAAGAGAAGAGGCATTAGAAAAGGGTAGTGAGCCGGGAGAGGAAGGAAGCACTCCTTGTCCTTATCCTGGTGTGGTGCCCCGCTGGTCACCGCTGGTCAGAACCTTTTTGTGTAAGTACTCCGTATGTGTTTCTAGCTAGCTACCAGCACTCATCACCCTTTTCCTGCTCTCTAGAATGATTTAACAAATATGCCTACCTGAATAGAGAGGCAAGGGGGGGTTCTAAAGGGTAGGACTCAGGGCCATTCACGACGACGTGACCTCAATGGAGATTATATTGCTGACTGTGTCACTTGGCAAATTATGTTAGAGCCATTTAGTTTGAAAGTATTTCTAACTGCCTGGTTTGCTCTCTTTAGGTTAACCTTTGGGGGCTGTGTTCTGTGATGCTTGATTGACCCTTGAAGTAATGTGGACAGAGGTTCTCAAATGTGTGTATTATAACCACCGGACCCAGCATTGTATCTTAATGTTCACTTAAAGAAGAACTAGCATAAGAAAGAGAATGGGAGTCTGGTTAAACAAAGATGACTTTATCAGGGACTTGAAGAGGATCAGTCTCTGTCTTCTGATACTGTATGTGGTTGTGGTAGTGGGCACGGATCAGAATTTTTACAGTTTACTTGGCGTGTCTAAAACTGCAAGCAGTAGAGAAATAAGACAAGCCTTTAAGAAATTAGCACTGAAGTTACATCCTGATAAAAACCCGGTAGGTGAAATTTCTCTTTCGGTATCTGCTTATTTTACTATGTCTCCATACTTATTTCGTTATTTTTCAATAAGCACTTGAAATGCTTAAGAATAATGTCAAAAAGTATATTTGGCAACTGGAGGAAGAGCATTTGCCTGACATGCACAAGGTTCAGGGTTTGATTCCCCGCCACCTGAAACTAATAGTTCACCTGTCATACTAAAACCAGAAGCAAAGTGCAGTGATTTTGTCAAAATCAAATGCAGTTACCTCTTCTCTATAAACTGATTTCCAACAGAAGACATAAGGACGTTAACTCCAAGCCTTGTCTTTGAAACAGTGTTCATATTAACAATCGAGACAAATATTCCCTTACAACTCAAAAGAGTCTTAAAGAATTGACAGTAGTAGCTAATCACAGTGTGATTTAACTTTCACTGTTATTTTCCATACACAGTTCAAACTTTTGACTTAGAAACTTACAAATTAAAACTTGAGAGCTCCAAATGTATTTCATTTTGTAACGATTTGATAGTGTACCCAAGAGTCTTTAAAAACAAATTTGTTTTGAATTTTATGGTATTTAAATTTTTTTATTAATTTTTAGCTTATCATGAATGAGGACATGGAGATAATTTTGTAGGTAGAAAATTTTATATAAATGAGATCATTTTATCCTAACTACATAAAGCTGAACATTATAAACTCTTAGTTGGTTATCTCTCCCAAAATATTAAATTTAGGGATTTGTTGTTTTTCAAGTTTTTGTTTTAAATTTTCTAGGTGTGATTTACAAAAGCAAATTCTATGAAACAGTAAAACAGTTAACATTTTTCAGTCCAGTTTTGAATTGTTATTCTGGTATTATTTCTTATTTAATAAACTGGTAGATTGAAAGATACACTTTATGGTTGGCCTCAAATGGGAAAATGGCATGCATACCTATTTATTTATCCTTGTTACAAAAGTAACACATTTTAAAGTAAAGACTTTAAGAGTCCATTAGGTTTTTTTCTTAGTGGCTTTTTTTTTTTCCTCACCAATTTTAGAAGGGAATTACTGATCTTTATCCATTGTTCATCTTATTTGGAAACTTTATACAGTAACGAGAAATTGGTTGCCAGAACTGTCAAACTTTTGAATAGTGCATTCTGACTTCCCTTACTTAGGCTTCTTCTGAAATTATGCTTCCTTAGAAATACTTCCTGATTTCATCTTGATGATTCATGTCATATTGAACTGCCCTTTTTTTTTTCTGTTGATATCTAGTATTCAGAAATCTGCGATCAGTTAAATCTGTATTTCTGAAGAGATTCAGATTGTATATTCGAAATAACTGGTGTGTCTTAATATTTTTTAACAGAATAACCCAAATGCACATGGTGATTTTTTAAAAATAAATAGAGCATATGAAGTACTCAAAGATGAAGATCTACGGAAAAAGTATGACAAGTATGGAGAAAAGGGACTTGAAGATAATCAAGGAGGCCAATATGAGAGCTGGAGCTACTACCGTTACGATTTCGGTAAGGCGCATGCTCCTCGTGAGATCTGTCCTGTCTCCTCCCTCCCTGTGCTGGGATTTGAACTGTCTTCAGACCCGAAGTTTATTTTTTAATACAAGTTAAAAAAAAGTTAGTTTTGTTCTGCTGTTTAATATATATATATATATATATACATATATATATATATATATATTTCATATATGTCACTTTGAGTAGCTCTCTTTACTCTGAAGTTGAGTTGAAAAGGTAAGTCAGTTGGTATATAGAAATCACTGTACATATATGAAAGTGTATTGGTCAGATTATGCTTAATACTTTCATATATGGTTCCTCTTAACTTAGCAATGTGTTTTGTGCTGTATATTACATTAGAAGTTAAATATTGAAGCCTTTCAAAACTTTGAAGAGCATGAAGAGTATGTTCCAACAAAAGCTAAACTTTCTTGTAAGCGTAATGGTAGCTTGTCTGATAGAAACACTGTCCTCCTGGCGCGGCACCTTTGTTGATCCTGGTTTTACATGTTGACAGGAGTAGACAAGGAAAGCCAGAAGAGAGGGAGACACAAAAGAAGGGGAAGGAGGAAGCAAAGACAGTCGCATCACAGCCAGTGTTTCCTGTTATCACTAGTTTGCTTCAAATGCAGACCAAGAACTGGTGCTGCTTTTCTATTAGACTAAAGGAAGTCGTTTAAATTTATTTCTATAGTATGCTCAAGACTTGATATGCTTTTGAAAATAATGTATTCCCTACTGACTTTCACCAGCCAGACCTGGCTTACTACTTGCTTACAAAGAAAATTTTATTAGAATACAGTTCTGCTCATTTGCTACATATTATCTATTACTTCTGTAAGACTTTAAGGGTAGAATTGAGTATTTGTGTTTAAAAACAAAACCAAAGAAACCCCATAAAAAACTGTGCCCTATAATCCCCTATAAAGTCCCAAATATTTACAAGTGGCCTTTGTAGAAAAAGTTTGTTATCTGTTGGTGCTATATATCCATTGTAAATGTTACTTGGGTGTTTTAGGTAGCAATGAGAATTTTCCCACATTGAGTTTGACCACAGTAAATAAAACTTTTATTCACTACTAAATATGTGCCTCTGCAAATCTTATAATCATTGGATTTTAAGCAATATAACATTTTAAAGTGATAACATGTAGTAAACACTTAATCTGATGAGTTCTGTAGTTTAATAATTAATGTAACTTTCTGTGGTTTTGATATTGTAGCATGTCATCTTTAGGAGGAGTTAGGTGAAGGATACATAAGAATTTGTGCTGTTTTTGCAACTTCTAGTGAGTTTGTGGTTATTTTTAAAAAGTAGCAAAACAAAGGGGTTGGAGAGATGACTTAGCAGTTAAGAGCACTAGCTGCTCTTCCAGAGGACCTGGGTTCAATTTCTAACACGCATATGGCAGCTCATGACTTGTCTGTAACTCCAGTTCCAAGGGATCTGACACCCTCATATAGACTTACATTCGGGTAAAACACCAGTGCACATGAAATAGAAGTAAATAATGTGTTTTGAAAAGTAGCAAGACACAGAGGTTTCATATGGGAAATGAGGTGATTAGGAACCTCTTCATACATCCCATTAAGTGATTAGGAGCCTTACCTATTCTGTGATAGGACTTATCAAGTCATTATCAGTCTTGAAATGAGTCATCAGTAGTGATAATTACTGTTGGTTTTTCTTTTAATTTGATGTGTATTGTTCAAGTTTGAAATTCAGTATAACTGATTTTTTATACCTAAGGCAAACATGAATAATATTTTATGTGGTGATTTATTTTTATGAAGAAATTTTAATTGTATGATTTTTATCCACTTTTAAAATTAGGTATTTACGATGATGATCCTGAAATCATAACATTAGAAAGAAGAGAATTTGGTAAGTTTATGGACATATGACTTCCTGAAAATAGTGCAAATCACGTCTCTTACCCAAAACTCTTAAGTCTAAATGTAATCAAAAGTTAGAAATTGTTCAGATTTTTAAAAAGGAACATGATGTATATGGTATATTAAACTATTCAGAAAAGCATGTGGACCATTGTTTCAAAATAAAAACACCAGTATAGGCTAGATCAGTGGTTCTCAACCTGTGGGTCATGGCCCCCTTAGGGAGTTGATGGCTCTTTTCACAGGGGTCACCTCAGACCATCTGCACATCAGATACTTACATTATAATTTATAACTAGAGAAATTACAGTTATGAAATAGAAACAAAAATAATTTTTGGTTGGGATCACCACAACGTGAGGAACTCTATTAAAGGGTCACAGCATTAGGAAGGTTGAGAACTATTGGGCTAGAGAGATGGCTCAGTGGTTAAAAGCACTTTTGCTCTTGAAAAGACCTGTTTTCAATTCCCAGCACCCACATGGTATCTCTCAACCATGTTTTAAGGAATTCGACACTTTCTCCTGACCTCTACAGGCATCATGCACCCACGTGGTGCACATGCAGGTGAAACTATGTGTATACATAAAATAAAATTCTAGAAACACTAATACTTCTTAGTGTTTAACAAAATGCCTAAGTATGAATACCAAATAAAAATAGAAATAATATGCAGTTCAGGTTTAGAGTCCATGTTATTTTGCTACATACTTGCAACAACAGAAAAAGTGCAGTTTCCATCTTTGAGATAAGTGTGGTTATTGTGGAAGCAGATTTAATTTTATATGTGACTTATGTGAAAATTCCCTACTCCATTCCCATTGCATTTTAGGGCATTAGAAAAATCAGATTAGAATCTTCTACCTCCACCTTTCTATAGCTATAATAATTTTTTTCTACTTCATGTACATGTGTGTGATATGTTTATGTGTGTGCCTGTCTCTGGGAGGGGATTTGGGGTGTGTGTGCGTGCGTGCATGCATGTGCCACTGAAGTTGAACCGAGGGCCTTAAGTTTGCTAGGCAAGTACTCTACCTCTTCTGTTCTACTTCAAAACAGTAAGTTGTGCTCAGAAAAGTTCCAGTTTTCTTTTGCTATGTTATGATAACATTTAATTTAGAAAACTAAAAATGCTAATTGCAAAAAAGATATGCTTCTTTTGTGTTATTATAAAAGATGTGGTACAGTTACTAGATTTCTAAGTAGAGTCCTTTCTATGCAGGAATGCCTTTTGTTCTCTAAATTTTATTATAGGTGACTTCTGGTATAAATGGTAGCTAACTATTTAATATAGTGCCATTTTAAGTTGTGTATATGAACACTTCAACATCTTTCCTACAAAAGAAATAGGGGAATTTGGTTTATCGCTCGATAACACTAATACTTATATCACAGACTGTATGTGGTTAGGTAGCGCCATAGCTTCTCCTATGTGGTTCTGACTCTGACTCATCTCTAAGTGTTTTGTGAAGCAGTGTGGTTAGAAAACAGGAAACTTTCATATAGAATCAGAACTAAACCAAATCTGCAACTGGCTGCTCTGTGAGACCACCTAGAATGAGACTTTACTAAGTTTTATATTGCAGATGAGTTTATACATTTTCAGACGTCATTGTGTAAAAAAGACTTCCTAATTAGGTCACTTAGAACCCCATATGGTAGTTTTAAATTCAGCCATGAAACCTTAGCGATAATTCAGAGATAGTTAACTAAAACTACACTGTTCTTCATGCAAGTAGACTAAGATAAGATGATCCTGACACTTCAGTTCAAGAAGCATAGAGATCTTGGGCCATAGTGGCGCACGCCTTTAATCCTAGCACTCGGGAGGCAGAGGCAGGAGGATCTCTGTGAGTTCGAAGCCAGCCTGGTCTACAGAGTGAGATCCAGTACAGGCACCAAAACTACACAGAGAAACCCTGTCCCGAAAAACCAAAAAAGCGGAGAGAAGATGACAAATGTGGGTTATAGAACTAATTTGTGTTTGGACAAATGTCACCAGTGGGCTTGCTTGTGAGTTTCTGTTGCCATTTTTTTCTATTGGTTTGAGTTATTTCATCTTTCCATAAATAATTATAGGGTCATTTTTAAGTGAGTTCTGGGGAGAGTCCTCAGCACACTGAAATGAGCTCCATTCTGATAGAACAAAATAATGCAGATGCTGTGTTGTGGTCATGCCCCAGTTCATCTCTATTTGTAGAACCCTTCTTCTGTACCTTAAGTCCTTTTATCTTTCTAGCTGATTAATCCATTGAAGTCTCTGCCCAGTTCCTTGCCTCTCAAGTATCTCTTTTGCTAGTGGCCAGCACTGGCTCTGATTTCCACCTTCCCATATATTGACATTGGGGTGCTTTACACCTCTCTGAGGTTTTCAACATGGGTCTCTTATATTTTGTCCAGTTTTCCAGTTGTTGTTAGTACTGGGAAATTTAGTCCAAATTACATAGTTCACTTTTACCAGGAAAGGAACCCAAATATCCGACTGAATACAGAAAGGACAAAAGTAGTTAGTAAGCTCTGATTTCAAAGCTGTAATGTTGTCATCTTTTCTTAAAAAGGAATCACATTTTCTATTAAGCGTAAGCACATTGTCTTTTTATATGTCACAGTACTATAGTATATCAGTTGTGATCAAGTTCTAGGTTGTATTTGAAAGGTAGAAAACACCTCACCAAATAAGGCTACCGTTGAAGCATTCTTTTGAAAACGGCTCAGGAAAGAGGAACGCAAGACAGTACTGCATTTTCTGTACCAATAGAAGCTATTGTACAGATATTAATAGGTAGTCTGGTTCTGTGATTTAAAAGAAATTTGCATTTTTAAATATATACTTACTCTGTTTTAGGTTACTGAGTTATATAAAAGCATTTCATTGTGCTATCTTACTGCACTCTTAAAAATACTTTTGGTCCAGCACAGTGGCCTACCCTGTGACCCCAGCTACATGGGAAGCTGAGGCAGAATGACTATGAGTCAATAAGTGAAATGAAAATGTATTTTTAATCTTACTACTCAGTAGGCAGTGCAAACTGAACAATACTTATAGCAAAGATTAGAAGTGTTTATGACTCAAGGATACACACAGCACTAGATACTCCATCACATGTGTTTATAACTGATAAGATGATCGCTTTTTCTATTTCAGTTTTCATTAACTCTATTGATAAAGATTTTTCCCTGAATTAATACTGGTTGCTGGCCTAAGCCAACATGCCATGTCTCCTGAGTCAGTTTCCGCATCTGTGACCGGCACTGGCCTCACACAGGTCCTTGCTGCTGGTGGTAGAAGAGCTTTCGTCTCAGCTAAGGCTCTCCGCTGTAGCTCTCAGGTGCACAGAATGCCATAAGCCCTGGCTGTCACCTGATGGGCTACCCCATATGTGGTTCACGACCACAGTTTCCCTGCAGGGCAGCTGCTTATTCAAGCCTACGCTTAGGAGGGGGTTGTACGAGTTATATGGACTCGACATTTGAGAAGCAGCACTACTGCTTACAGGAAAAACCACAGGAAATAAGCTCACTATGGAATATTTAGGACTGGTGGTTTTTTTGTTTTTTTTTTTTTTTTCATTCTGGTCTTAGCAAAACCATTTGTGATTAAAATGTGCTTTAACCTTTAATAAATCGTTGTGTTCTATGTGCTTTCAGATGCTGCTGTTAATTCTGGAGAACTGTGGTTTGTAAACTTTTACTCCCCTGGATGCTCACATTGCCACGATTTAGCCCCCACTGTACGTATGTTTAATGTCCCAGCTATTAAAGCCTTTTTATAGTTGATGTATTATTTGGATTCCTTTTTTTCTTTTAATAATTTGTTGGAAATTATTTGTATTAGTCAATGTAGCCATCAGATCATTATCAAATACTTTTTCCCATAGGTTTTATTTAGTAAGACTTCCCTCCTTTAAGATTATATAGAGTGAAGTATGTTCAAAAGAAGAAACGTTACCAGAGAAATGCTTGTTTTCTTTTTCTATCATAGTGGAGAGAATTTGCTAAAGAAGTGGATGGATTACTTCGGATTGGAGCTGTCAACTGTGGCGATGATCGGATGCTTTGCCGAATGAAAGGAGTCAACAGTTACCCCAGCCTCTTCATCTTTAGGTCTGGAATGGTAAGGGATGTTTCCACTTTTAAGACTTTATAACAAGTGAAGTACTAGAGAAAACACGATGTAAACTTTTAGACTGCTTCTTGCTTTTTCTTATTTTAGGAGGTAATGTATAATAAACATTTTGTATTCTTTGTGAAACTTCTCAGGGCCATCAGTTTCTGCATTACAGGATATTTAATGCAGATTACAACGTATTTTAGGTGCTGCCTCATGAGATAGAAGGCTCTAACATCTTTCTTTTCCCCAATTTCCAATAATGAAACTGAAGCTAAAATTGTTACCAATGGTATTAAAAGCAGTATTCTATACGATCTGTACTGTTGGGGTTCTCCAAGTATCATTTGTAAATATATTGTGTTGTTAAAAAGTAGAACTTCCAGCATTATTCAAAATGGTAAACTGGTAGAGTTTTAAAATGAAAAAGTAAAAGATGTTTATGTAAACCAACAGGCTGCAGTGAAATATAATGGAGACCGGTCAAAAGAGAGCTTAGTGAACTTCGCCATGCAGCATGTCAGGAGCACAGCGACAGAGCTGTCGACGGGTAATGATTTCCCTCATTTGCTTGCTTCTCAGGGATGGTTTGAATTCACAATGATAGTTTTACATTTGGGTCATAATAATGAAGAATTGAAGTATCTTTCTGTGCTTCTTAGAAAGGAATTGTCCTTGCTGTGGTTCCTGCTGACCTGTACACTGAACAGGCTAGTTCTTTTTGCATAGACTAATAGAGTTCAGGTGTAGAGGGGTGTGAGCTGGGAGGTCAGGGCTTCCTTTAATACTACTGACTCTCAGCACTGCATTGTTGATGCCATGGCTACAGGCAGAAAGTTCATTTCAAGTTCACAAACACTTCAAATGATAGCTTTTAATTCATCCAATGAAGTATTCATGAGACAGAGTTCCTAGTTAGAGGGATGCCTTATTCATTCATTCTGCACCAACTATGTGTTAGAAACTGTGTTGAACACTGTATTTGTAGTAATAGAGTATATGTAATCCCAGCCATCAGCAGCTTCACTTCAGTGAGCAGGATACCAGTGAACAACTGAAATGCGGTCCAGTAGCTTTTATGATTAGAAGTCAAGCATAGAGAAGCATAAAGGTGTGAAGCAACCCAATTGAAGAAAAGAGGAGAGGTTAGAATGTGCTTCTTTACAGAAAATGCAAGTAATTTCTCATATGATCAATTAGGAAGGCTTCAGAGAGCACTGGGCATTTGGGAATTAGCAGTTCTTGACAAATCTCAAAGACAGCAATGGAGTGGGTGGGTGGGGCTTGTGTGGGAAGAACATGGCTGGCCAATAGTTAGGCAAAGCTCGGGTCATAAGAGGCATGACTTACCTGTTTGTATGTTCTCAAAATAATCAGTATGTCTTAAAAATAATGGGTAATAGTTAGAGAGGATTGGAAGTAGTTAAGTTTGGAAAGAAAGAAGTAACTTTTGAAAGAGTGTTTTCATTATTCACTAAGAAGTACTCAGAAATTTTATTTTCTTTAAAGGAAATTTTGTTAACGCCATAGAAACTGCTTTTGCTGCTGGTATCGGCTGGCTGATCACATTTTGTTCTAAAGGAGAAGGTAATTTTGTCGTTTTGTTAGGATAAAAAGACTGGTATCTAAATTTCGGGGATAGTTTATGCTACTGTACTTGATTTTTTTTTTCTGTCAGTAATCAATCAGTTACTTCAGCGTACGATTTAAGTCCCAAATTACAAACATTTACTAAATGTATATATCTTTGATTCTTTACACATAACTGGTAATGAAATTAGTGATGTGTAAATGTTTATAATTTCATGTTTAGGGGATGAGTTTTTCAGCCTAGTTCTCGGGATAAATTGTACCTCAAATAACAAAAGATAAGCTGGGCAGTGTGCAAAAGTAATTAATTGTATCAACTATAATTACTACCAAAAGAACTTTTAGAAATTCAGACTTTGAAACTTAACAATATAAAAAATGTTCTCCCCTCATTAGATTGTGTCTTTAGTGATGATAGTCTCCTTTTCTAGGGTATGTCATTATTTAAAGGTCAGTGTCCTGCATGCCAAATTTTAAAAATGCAAACTATGTTCAGTAAGATCAGTTTAAAGTTGTTCCAAATATTACAAAATATCTGCCAGGCAGTGGTGGCGCACACCTTTAATCCCAGCGGTCGGGAGGCAGAGCCAGGTGGATCTCTGTGAGTTCAAGGCCAGCCTAGTCTACAAAATGAGTTCTAGGACAGCCTGAACCCTGTCTCAAAAAAAAAAAAAAAAAATTCAAATCCCCATTGTCAATACTTTTTTGTGTCTAATCCCAATGTAGATCTTTTTCTTACACATTACCTTTTGCCTTTGTGCTCCTTTGCTAGGGATGTGCTGATTTATGACTAAAGGCAGCCATTCACCCATCCTCTAAGTCCTACATTAAGAAAACACAACCTTCAATTTAGTGTCTCACCATTGAGTTTCATATCAGCCTAACACAGTGGACCTCAGCCTTCCTAATGCTGCGACCCTTTAGTATAGTTTCTCATGTTATGGTGACCCCCAACCATAAAATTATTTCATTGCTACGTCATAACTGTAATTTTGTTACTGTTATGAATCGTAAATATCTGAAATGTAGGGTATCTGATATGCGACCCCTGTGACGGGGTTATTCAACCCCACCGCACCGTTGTGACCCACAGGTTGAGAACCATTGGTCCAACCAAAGCCAAATACTGATTTCTCTATCTGCACATCAACTTTGAAACTTTCTAACATGTTATCATTTATCTCTAGCTTCTGAAATGTTACAATGCCCTTTCTTCCAAGTCTTACCTCATTGTATCCTGTCCTAAATTCATATTTAACAGATTTTGTTTTTTAGAAAAAAAGTGAAATGCCTGTTTTAAGATTAAGAGTAATAATATTTTGAGGATCCTGCATATACCTTTTCAAATAGCTCTGTTAGATTTTATTTCTTTCAAACCATGAGTATCTTGGCCAAAGGAGACTGTTACTAAGAGGATAAAACCTAAAGAGATGCTTGCTATAGATGGAAATCCTCAGAAATTAAGGAGAAGGAATGAAAGATTAGGTTTGGGTGTGTGTGAGACAGAGATTACTTGATGGGCCCCCAAATATACCTGCTAAACCTATCCATATTTACCAGTACAGCTCAGTTACTTGCCTTAGAAACAACATGGGTGCGGGAGTGGGTATCAGAATTAAAACTAAAACAGCCTCATAAAATTTTTCCCTCAGATTGTTTGACGTCACAGACACGACTCAGGCTTAGTGGCATGTTGGTAAGCATCCATCTTTTTTATAAAGCTGTCACCCTGTAAGAAGTACAGCTAGAAATTGACCACAAATATCTTTCATTGTTTCTTGAACACTTTATCCTACTTATATGTGATCTTCTTTTCTGGTAGACGTGATTTTTAGCTTGAAGTGTCCTTCTAAATCATTAGCTGTGTTCAGTCAGTGTTTACGTGCTTTTATTGTAACTCGCCTCCAGCTCTCCCATGTTTATTTTGTATGAATCCCACCAGTGGTATACTAGCTTCTTTGTCATTTCTAAATTAGAGTTTGTTGTCTCAGTTTTTAGCCTGCTGTTTCTTCTGAGGACTTCACGTTGTGGTGGGGCATGTGCTGTGAATGATGCTTATCCTTTAGTAGTACTGAAAACTCCCCTGTCGCTGGGAGATTGTCAGCTGTGATTGTGTTGATTGGGTGTGGTTTGTATACATAGTAGATCAATTATATGAGGTTTGTATCTGCCTCATTGCTATACTGTTTAATTTGGGGAGTGGCATGTTAAAACAACCAACGTGCGTGCGTGCGTGCGTGTGTTTGTGTTTGTGTGTACACGTATGTATATATGATGTATGTATGTATGTATGTATCAAAGTCATCTCTTGCTTAAGGATTAGATAATGCCCTGAGATATACATTAGGCAATTTCACCATTGTGAAACATAGAATTTACTAAGACAAGCCTAGTGTGTTCAGGATGCCTCATTATTATTGTGGATATTTCAATTTCTCCATTTAATTTGGCTAACTTTTTCTTATGTTTTGAGCCTTATATGAATACAAATAAGAATTGTTAACTTTCTTTGTAATTTGTATACCATAAAGATGATAACAAGTCTCTGACATCCATTTTTTTAGACAAGGCCAAGAGTCCTTTAATGTAGATTTGTTCATTACCTCTTATAACTTTGCTATTATCTATGCTAGTCCTATGTGGGCTTTCACAAGTCTTCTATGCAGTAAATTGAATGTATCTTTGTGTCTATATGTGTCTATATGTGGTGCTGGTGTCTGAACCCAGGGCTTTGAGTATGCTAGCTATCTCCCCAGTGAATAGTGTATCTTTTTGTACAATTTAATTTTTATTTACAGATGCTCACATGTAATGCCATCTGCTTCTATCTGTCTATATAAAGACAAAGGGCATTTGTCTTTAATTCTCTGAAGTTTTGTTACCACATAGGTGCCATTTTCTTGTTTTGCTTTAACACTGTTGGACTTTATGAATATGTAGGTTAATTTTTTTTTCAGTTTGGCTGCTGTTATTTTACTTATTTCCTGTTTTTTCTCTTGTCTTTCTGGAATCCCAATTAAATAGACGTCAGTTCTCTCTGTTTACCAGCTTGCCTGTCTAGAATTTTTTTTTAGTAACTTGACATTTGAAGCAATGTACTTGCCTTGTAGGACTTTGGAGCTCTTTACAAGAGCTCAACCAGCAACAGGTGAGGACTGGCAGGGTGCTGATTTAAGTGTAGATGCAGAAAACACCTGATGCCCTTCATGATCATGGAAGGGTAGTTGAAGGTGGTGAGCTTACCCGAGTCAGAGTTTAGGCTTTTTCAATCTGAGACTATTGAACAGCCTAGTTTAAAATAACACGATAAAAAAATATAGTTCTTGTATACAAAAAAATGTAAAAGTAGGCTGGGCATTGGTGGCGTAGGCCTTTAATCCCAATACTCGGGAGACAGAGGCAGACAGATCTCTGAGTTCAAGGCCAGCCTGGTCTATAGAGCGAGATCCAGGACAGCCAGAGCTATACAGAGAAATGCTGTCTTGAAAAACAACATCCCCCCCCAAAAAAAGTAAGAGTATATGTTTAATGTAGTAGGTATTTAATATTGAGAAAACTACATTTTATTATTCAAAGTTACAGAATACTGTGTAGAGTACTATTTTTTAAAAGTTTTAACTTTATAATAGAAAAGCTGAGTTTTTAAGTAAAGGTAAATCTTATTGACCTTTTTCTTTCCTTTACACCATGGTGTTTTTATTTCTTTGCACTGTCTGTCCCTTAGGACGGTCTTGTTCATGTGGGATGGGTGGACTGTGACACCCAGGACAGCCTCTGCAAGAGTTTGGACATCACGGCCAGTACCACTGCCTATTTTCCTCCTGGGGCCACGTTGAGTAACAGAGACAAATCCAGTGTTTTGGTATGTGTAATTTTAAGGCACTTTCCTTACATGTAATTGGACACATGCACGCCTTGAAAGGTAATAATATTTTGTGAGCAATGTGGAAGGAAATTAATTGGTTTATGTAATTTGTAGGACATTTCATTACTTGCCACAATTTCTGGGTGTTTCTTACTCAGTTTTAAAATCTGTTATAGGGATTGTTTTCAAACCAACATTTATGTTTAAGACTATTATACTTTGAAATGACAAAGGAATGTAGTGTATTTTAAGTACAGTGAAAGAAATTTTTGTCATGAGTTTTCATTGGTTTCCATTTAATTGTAGTTTTTAATGTTGAATATATAGATCTTGAGACTTGGCTGAGGCTGAGATAACCTATTTTTTCTTCTTTTTCTGTTTATATTTAATATTCATGCATGCAAATAATATGTTTGGATCTTATCTCCTCACCACTTTTCCCTCCCACGTTCACGTTCTCCCTTACACCTTCTATGTATGGGACACCATAATTTGTTCATGTGTGTTGTCATTGTTTTTCTCCTACTTTATTGTATTGTGTATTATAAGTTTGAGTTTATTTGCTGATAAATGCCGAATATATAGAATGCATGTGTGTGGTCCCTGCAATATACATACAAATAGATGTTTGTGTATGTGCATATATGTTCTATTAGTATGTTCAGATGAAATGGATAGGTGCAGATATGATTTTCTTTTTATTAATAGGATCAAATAGTAGATAGTTTTTATCACTGTATCAGAAAAAAATTTGTGACTATATTTGTATTATTTTAATTATTCATTTATATATTACTTTATTTTAAAATGTCCATACATCCTTTTAGAAGTAATTTCTGAATATAATCTATTAACTATGACATACTTAGATTAATGCATCCTGTTTTGAGACATATTTATTTGTATACTTTCATGGCTATGAGCAGTGTTGTACAATCTTGTGTGTTCATCTTCTGTATTTTTTTAGTTATCTTTTTGGAAAGGAATAGTTGCAGCAATTTTCTCCAATTCATATTGTCAGATTATAAGCCCACTCCCTAGCCAAAAATTATTTTATGTAAAACTATTTATGCAGGGCTGGAGGGGTGGCTCAGTGGTTAAGAGCACTGGCTGTTCCCCAGAGGACCTGAGTTTCATTCCCAGCACCCATGGTGGCTCACAACTGTCTGTAACTCCAGTCCCAGGGGATCTGATGTCCTCTTCTGGCCTTCTCCAGCAACAGGCATGCATGTAATACACATACATAGATTCACGCAAACAAACACATAAAAATAAATGTAACAAAAAAGACTTTATGCTATAATTTTTAATATAAAGGCACATTTAGGAAATTGAAAAGAAAACTAAGTTTTCTCATTTTAGTGTTATACGTACTGTTTCTATTCATTTGTTCATTTTCATGCCTAGCGCTAGTAAAATGTATTCTATGATAGTTCCTGCAGATTTTTAAAGGGGATTTTAGTAAGTTAAGTAATATTTGAATTATTAAACATAAATGGTTGATAACTGTAAAGATACATAATACTAACTCTATGGTTAATACCATGTACATTTTCTTACTGCATTCTTTGCTACGTATACTTCGTTGAAAAGACAGCACAGAGTTCTAGGATAAAATACAGGCAGAGATGAGGGTGTTACAGGTGTGATGGGCGGTGTGTTTGCTTTCTTAAGCATTTTGTTTTGTAAAGAAGAAACTTGGCTTTCAGACATGTTTGAAGAAATCCTTGTTGTATGTTTTACTCTTAAAAACTGCTACCTATGGGATTTGGTTTCTTAAAACATCCATAATCATTTTTTGAGCTCTAAGTCCATATTGATAGAAATACTGTAATATTAAAAGTGTTCTATTAAAAATCCTATGAGACTGTGAAGCATGGGTATTGTGGTTATAACCGAAATTAAGCAACCATATTTTCCTGATGACATAGAATTCACTTCAAATTGCAGAGAGGATCACCACAGAAAATTTTACATACTGAATTAACACTTCATAACCAAAAACAGTCTAATGAACTGACAAGATATTTCAGTAAAGGTGCTTGTTGCACAAGCCTGGGACCTGAGTTGCTGTGTGGATCCCATGTAAAGGCAATAGGACATAACTTCTTCCTCTCTATGTGTGTGGTAGGTGTGTGCACACACATGCATACTAATAGACTTTTTTTTTTAAAAAAAAAATCCAGTTATACAGTATCTTTAATAATTACGAAAATATGGCGTACTTTTAAAACACTGTCATTTGGAATAATTTTAAAAATTGCTTAACTAACATGACTGTTAAAACTTATATTAAAACTTTATAGCAACTGAAATAAGATGTCAAACATAATAAATGACTATTTACTTAGAAAGTTTACAGTATGGTTCATTTGTTCTAGTTTCTTAATTCATTGGATGCTAAGGAAATATACATGGAAATCATACATCATCTCCCAGACTTTGAACTGCTTCCAGCAGATAAATTAGAGGTAATACTTCTACAATAACAGTAAATATTGGCAACATTGCGGGTCTTAATATTTGTTTTCTTTTCAATATTTAATTTGTAAATAAAAATAGATAGTTGAAGTATACCATGTGAGATTTGATATGTGTACATGGTGTACTTAACTGATGAGAAACAAGTCACCACTGCAGTTACCATTTATGTGGGATGAAGGACACAAAAACCCCTCCCTCTCTCTCTCTCACCAGCAGTCAGGTAAGCAACACGGCAACAGGAGCTACAGCTCTTGAGTGTGCAGCAGCCCTGGGAACTGACTTATCTTTTATTATTATTATTATTATTATTATTATTATTATTTTAAAAAAATTATTCATTTTACATACCAGCAGGTCTTAATATTTTAACAATATATTTTATTTGTTGCTAGAGAGATTAAAAATTAGCATTCGAAGGATTATATATTAGTTAATTCTGGGTTTGATTCTGATTACTGATATTATGGTGCTTCTAATTCAAAAGACCTACACATCCCTGAAACTGAGCTTTGGAGGGGACCAGAAAGGCAGGATATGAATGACAGAGCAACCTCAGGTCTGATTACACAGCCCTGTTGTTCACTAGGATTTAGGAAGCACCTTTTGAGAGTGTTTATAAATGCACAGGTAGTAGTAGACTCAATCTTTTTATTCTGTTCATCACTTAGCTCTGGATTAGTATTTTTACTAAATATTTTATTAAAACTAAAAAATCTTTGACTTCTCCAGCCCTACCCTAAGTGTTAAGTTATTAAAGTCATATTATTTTCTTGGAACAACCATTTCATTAGGATTTTTCTAACTCTGACCTATCTCTTATTGTGTACTGTACGCAGCATTATTACTACGAATACAGAGTACAGTTGACTTTGAACTAATGGGTAGGATAGCTAAACTTTATTGTATGTCACAGAAGTAAACACTGGATCCTTAGTCCCTTGCTGACACTGATGTTTCTTTCTCACTCCAAGGATCGTTTGGCACATCATCGCTGGCTCGTATTTTTTCATTTTGGAAAAAATGAAAATGTAAATGATCCTGAGTTGAAGAAACTGAAAACCCTGCTTAAAAATGAGCATATTCAAGTAAGGAAAAAAAGTATACCTTGCCTAGCTACTGTGTGTCCTTATTTATCTGTCCTTGGTCACTTTGGCTCAAGGTTTGTCAATTTTTTTCTTTGAAAAACAGCTTTAGTGTCTGGGATGCCATTGGTTGGTAGAGCTTACATGGTGTACATGAGGCTCTGAATTGGATTCCCTGGTAGTGCCTAAACCTGGCAGTAGCACAAATTTGTAATCCCTGTTGAAGCAGGAGGGTCAGAAGTTCAAGGTCATCCTGAACTAGTTAGAGAGAGGCCAGCCTGGACCCCATAGGAGTCTGTGGTCCTTGAAGTACATGTGTAGTCTTCTCCCTGCTACTTTTGGTAATAGACGTAATGCTGTGGACTCTTACCATTGCTCTGTCCCCTTGGTTTTGGTCTGTTAGATAATGTTTTCATTTGCTTTGTTTCAAGCAAATAGGGCCTTGCTGTAGTACAGCCTGTTCTGGAACTTGTCCCCACCTCTCTCTGCTGACTCCTAGAATTGTAGGCTCTGGTGCTATGCCCAGTTGTGGAGCATTTCCATTTCCTGTTACATTTCTTAAATGACCCATTGATGATTTTGTTCATTGTCCATATATTTGTTCTCCATGGTTTGATTTCCACTTTGACTTTATTGTAATGAGGAGATGCTTATAATACTAGTTGTTTTAAGTTGTTGATACTTGCTTGTGATATATAGTCTGTGGTAATGCTGATATAAAGGATGCTTATTAGTAGCACCCACTAAACTGTAATGATTGTGAATATAGTCCTATGTACATAAGTGGATGTAGAGACCAGAAGTCAAATTGTATGTCTTCTTCATCACTGTCGACCTAATTTCTGAAATGGTGTCTCTCACTGAACCTCAAATTAGCCAATTGAGCTAGACCAGCTGGCCTGTGAGCCCCAGCAAACCTCTTGTCCCTGCCTGTCTATCACTGGGATTAGAGGTGCAAATCACTGTTCCCGGGCTTTATTGTTGTTTATTATTTATTTTTGAGATTATAATTATAGTATTTCTTCTTTCCCTTCCCTCCCTCTGAACACTCCATATGCCTCTCCTTGCTGTCTTTCAAACTTAGGACTGCTGGCTACTGAACTCAGATCTGCCTCTTGCACAGCAAGCAGTTTACTAATTGAGCTGTCTGCTCAGACCCCTGAATGTAATTTGTGAGTCACAGTTCTTACCTACTTTCTGTTGATAGTCCTGCTGGCTCATTCTTCTTCCTGGTCAGATGTTAGTCTATCAGATTGTTGTTTTAATGGATCTTTTGTCTTAAACACCACATTTCCCTCCTTAGTTTATTATTTGCTTATGTTATTTGTGTTATTTTCCTTGACACTGGGAACATTATCCTTTTTCTGCATTATTTTTGATGTGCCTCACTTGTAAAGTTACTTTTGCTCTACCACAAGATGAAATTGCCCCTACATTCTCTACAAGGATATTTTTCTTAAAGAAATTCACATTTTCTTGGAAATTTCCTGCAGGTTTCTAAACTGTCTAGGAAGCATTCTTTATTGAGTTCAGTATTAAATATAAATGAACCATTTCTGTCCCTTCATTTTATAACCCATTGAATTTTAATGTTATTTGGGGGTAGTTATCTTTATGAATATTTGAAAATTGTATAAGATATTATTTATTCAGTTCAGTGTTCTGCTTCCCAGGTTGGAAGGTTTGACTGTTCTGCTGCACCAGGCATCTGTTCTGATCTCTACGTTTTCCAGCCCTGTCTAGCAGTATTTAAAGGACAAGGAACCAAAGAGTATGAAATTCATCATGGTAAGTGTGTTAGTTACTTTTCTCTTGCTGATAAAACAGCATGACCAAGGCAGCTTACAGGAGGAAGGGTTTAGGTGAGCTTATGTCCAGAGGATGAAGGGCCCATCATTATCACTGCAGGCAAACATGGCGGCAGCAGGCCTGGCAGCAGGAATAGCTGTGAGCTCACACCCCGAACTGCTACAGGAAACCGTACAAACTGGGAATGGTATGAGGCTTTGAACTCTCAAAGTCCATGCTGGTGGCACATTTCCTCCAGGAAGGCCATTCCTCCCTAAGCCTCCCCAAACAGCACCATCAACTAGGGACCACCCATCACAGTGAGACTAGGAAAAATGACAGAAACGCATATTGACTTTCAAATAGAAATATTCTAATTACGATTTATATTTTGTATACATAATTATTATCAAAATTTTTCTTTCACTAGCAAATATGGAGGGAGACTTTTTCATTACATACAGTTATTTTATTATGCTTATTCTTCTTTTAAAGGTCTTTTTAAAAACACTTTGATAACTATTTCAGTAAAAAAATCTAAGGGTGACCCATCACTGTGTGGGGATTGGTTTATGGGCAAAGCAAGCAGCCCCTGCGGTCGCCATGCCTCATTCAGCCTCTCAGCTACCCAACCCTGCCTGCCCTAGAACTCAGACTTCACTAATGGCTTTGTCTCTACTGTCCTGAAAGGCATGCAGTTCATTAGGTAACAGCTACTGAGTCAAGAAATGCTTCTTTCTTGCATCCCCTTATTATGGCACTGCTTTAAGTATGAGGTTTTAAAATTATAAGACGTGAATTCTTGTCTTAGATACTGTTCTGTGGCTGTAAAGAGACACCATGACCAAGGCAACTTAGAAGAGAAAGCATTTATTGCCTTGTTTACAGTTTCAGAGGACTGGTCCATGACCATCATGGCAAAGAGCAGACGGCAGATAGGCAGTCATGTTGCTGGAGCAGAATCTGAGAACTCACATCTGATCCACAAGTTGCAGGAAGAAAGAGAAGAGTGAGACTGGGCCTGGCATGGGCTTTTGAAACGTTAAAGCCCACCCCTAATGACACACTTCCTCCATAAGGCCACCTCGTAATCTTTCCCAAACAGTTCCATCAGTTGGAAACTAAATATTCAAACGTGAGCTTATGGGGACCATTCTCATTCAAATGACAAAAGCTGTTTTCTCAAGAAGCTTGGATGGCAGTGTGATAGGCCCAGGAGAAAGATCTCTAGGAAAAACATGAAAAATGCTCAGTGGCCGCTTTATGTAAATCTCAACAAGATCCAAGGTATTTGTCTGTGGCATAGGTCAGGGTCAACATGTGAGTTGAGCATGAACTGCTTAGCTACTTAAAGCAAATACAGAAGTAAAAGAAGTGGGACCCTTTAGACTACAGCAGTGGGTCATGACCCCCTTGGCAAACTTCTCTGCCCCAAAATATTTACATTATGATTCATAACAGCAAAATTAAAGATATGAACTAGCAAAAAAAAAAATTATGGTTAGGGTCGCCACAACATAAGGAATTGTATTACAGGGTCACACATTAGGAATGTTGAAAACCACTGGGCTAAAGGAACTATGTGAACAAAGGTATGATAAGATAACCCCGACTACAAGTTCTCTTTGCCAGTCAGCAAAGGGCCGTGTGCAGCTGAATCATTGTCATAGTCACAGCTTCCAGTGAAGATGCAAACTGAAGTTGAAAGTGTTAAATAATTGCCCCCAGCATAGACAAAGGAGATTTTTAACATGCACAAGTGTCTAACTCTAAAACCTAAGCTTGTTAGAGCCTCACAGCCAGTACGTTATACTGTGAGCCATGCTGGCCTGAACTTACTGTGCCTCAGGCTCAAACTGCCTTGAACTTGTAGTCTTCCTGCCTCGGCCTCTGTAGTGCTAAGGTTACAGGTATACACACTGGTGTTACACCACTGTGCCCAGGTTGGAAGTACAGATGTTGCCTCTGAAGTGTTCCTCACACCGTCTCTGTTCTGTTTGCCTTGTTTGGATCCATCATCTCCTTTGTCACAGTTGCTTCTTTCTCTTGTTTGCACTCAGTACCCAGCATACCATTTTCCTGACACTGCTCTGCATTTTCAGTCTTCTGGAGAATGAACCTCGCACTCCTTAGTATATAGCAGCAATGGCGTTGCCTCACTACTCTGTCTCCAACACTTAGAGTAATGTCAGGCATGTAGTAGGAACTCTGTGAAGAGTTGTTAAATGAACAGGGTGCATTCATACCAGTTTCTTCTGTTTTCTTCGCCTCATCACCTACCTTTGCTCCTCCAAATAATCATAGCTTCAACTACTTTTGAATTCTTGAGCATGCCATGTTCTTTCACTCCTTTCTGCCATCACACATAATTCTACCTCCTGAATTATAATTATTCCTTCCTGTTCCTCCAGATATTTAGCAAACTTCAAATTACCCTTGAAAACTTATTCTTCTACCCTAGGAAGCACACTAAATCTTTGAGCACTTCCCTTTATGTTACTAATAACTATAATGCACCTTGCACTCAGCATCTCTGTGTCCCAAGTAAAACACACAAAATAGAAAATAATGTGAGCTCTATTTAACCTCTGCCCTAAAAAACTTTATAGACTTGGAGAGAAAGCATACAGGTAAAGGACAGATTTTAAATGTTTGACTGTGAAGTAGTATCTTTTACCCAAATAACAACTATTTGGTCTTCAGGAATCTGGGAACAACTTATCTTAGTTTCTTTATGATCCTGCAGTCAAGGTAGATGAAGGTCATCTGAAGACGAAGCTGTAGCCACTGCATCAGGATTCAGCATGGCATGTGGGATAATCAGAAAGCTTCATATCACAGGAGGCCTTAGTTCTTCACCATGTTATGCACTCTAGATGCTTACAGTGTGGTAGCTGACTAATCCCAGAATAAGTCATCTTAAAATGAGAAAGCAAGACAGAAGGAACACAGGAGATCACAGCCCCATATTCTGTTGGTCACTTTTACATAAAATAAATCTCATTTGAGCTGTCTTGGAAGGGAACTGGCCTTCAGTAAGTAAGTGTAGATTGTACTTACAAAGAAACTGAGGTTGAACAATCTTCTGAGATTAGAGGAAGCCCTGAAAGAGCAATCTCCATGTTAAGATGTAAAGTACACACAATGATTAGCAGTAGAAGAGGTGATAAAATACATTCCAAGCACAAAACCCAGTAGATTTATTCACAGACCTGAGATAAGAGAGCCCTGTTGATCTTAGACCAACAGCACTTAAAAGATGAGAAAGATCTTTGTTGAGAGAAGACTAAGACAAAGATTATCTCTGATCTTCTGGGGAAAGGCATTGGAATTTCATCCTGAGGGAAAGCAGGGAGATGATTGGTTTTAGAAAAGTCGCTGGCTGCCCAGTGTGGGTGGGAGGCAACATTGGAAGGAAGGACTGCAGAGACTGCATGGTCACCAAGGGTAGGACTGCCATAGACAGATGATGGTAGCCAAGAGAAACACAAAGGTCAGTAGACGGATTAAAATCTTTTAGAAACTCAGTTAATTTAGTTTTTGTTAGGATGTAGGGGATTCAGAGAGGAGTCAGGTAAGTGTCCTAATTTTAGTTAGTGAATTGGACTTGGAGTAATTGGACCTTTAGTGAGGCAGAAGATGCTGGATTAGGAGTTGACAAGAAGTAGAATGTGTAGTTCACTGTTGAATACACACACACACACACACACACACACACACACACACACACACACACACACACGCAGCGCATGCATACCTTGGCTTCAGTAAAGAAATTTAAGCCAAAAATGAAGACATTAAGTTGGATATTAATGGTAAAGGCCTGCATTACTATGAGTTAATGTGAGTAAAGAGAAGAGAATCAGTGACTGGGACTACCTTTCAGGGGTGGTCAGCAAGAAAAATTCATGAAGCAATTCAAGAAACAGCGCTAAAAAAAACAGGCAGGAGAGTACAAAATCACTTGTCATTTCGTATGTACATAGTGGTCACCTGCCTTTTCTGTTGTACCGTGACACTAAAAGGAAGAGCTTCCTCTTTCTGTTTGCCATGGCAATGTGAATGTATCTGACTCAGTGCTCAACTTAATTTTGACTATTGAATAAATCAGAAGGTATGAAAAAATGGAGTGTCTTGTAGTTAAGAAAGATCTTCTGCCAAGCCAAGAAGCATGATCTTCTTTAGGCTGTGGCAAATCATTAAGTGCGTTTAAATTTGGGTTTTGTTGTTGTTTTTAAGGGTGACTGTAGTAGCAGAAGGAAACTGGGTTCATTCAGGAAGGCTGAGGCCAGAATACTAGTGCAGCTGTTACAGGAGGCTAGACTGAGCAGCAGCAGTAGCAGTGGGCGTAGTGCTAGGTGAGAGACGGGGTGGACACAGTCAGACAGGAACAAGCAGACAAGAATCCTCTCGTGGTCTCATTTAGACAACTGTGTAACAAACAGTTGCTTGCTCTGAGACTATGAAAAAAGAAACACGGAGGGGTTTGGAGATGATGACCCATTCTAATTCAGATTCATTAACTTTCAAATATCAAGTACATTTTTCCACTGGACAGTTTGTAATACATTTTTGAATTCAAGAGAATACTAAAGGGATTATTGTCCTTACGATGGTGAGAAAGCATTCCACAGAGGTCGTGTCGTTTAACTAGTGCAAGAAACAAAAGAGTGTACAATAGAAGGGGATTCCTGGTAGAGCAAGCCAAGGTGAGGGTACTGAGCCAGTGCATCCATAGCTCCTTCTTTGTTCTTTGAATATTTTAAGTATTAAAATTGGAATGTTTCTCTAGAAACAGAAGACAGTACATATTTTAATTTTTGTCAATTTATAGGAAAGAAGATTCTATATGATATTCTTGCTTTTGCCAAAGAAAGTGTTAATTCCCATGTTACCACACTTGGACCTCAAAACTTCCCTGCAAGTGACAAAGAACCATGGCTTGTTGACTTCTTTGCCCCGGTGAGTTATTTTTATTTGTTTCTAGACAACTTGAATATCAGTACTGGAGCTGTGTGGGCTCCGCTTCTCCTGGGCACTGCCAGGACAGAGGGTACAGGCAGAATGGCTTTTGCGTCACTTAGCAGAAACAGTGTAGTGCTTCTCTTCCTTTGTTGATTTGCTCATGCTCATCCTTTTCTTCCCAGTGGTGCCCGCCATGTCGAGCTCTTTTGCCAGAGTTACGGAAAGCATCAACGCTGCTCTATGGCCAGCTCAAAGTTGGTACATTAGACTGCACAGTTCATGAAGGACTCTGCAACATGGTAAGACCAGGACAGACTTTGACCATCCAGTATTAAAACAACTTTTCAGATGCACACTTACTTATAGTAGTAATGTCGAAACCATTTCAACAAAGTAGTAAATTGTAGTTGAATTGTAAATAGATCTGTAGAAGGTTGACTGTATACAAGCTTTGTTTACCAAACTTAGACATGTATTTATTTGACTCATAAAATACATAAATTTCCATTTTATTTAAGGCTTTATACTTTTGTAACATTTTTTAGTTTTAACAGTATGCAAGTTTATTCTTTAGATTTCTTTATACTTGTCAGTTTGAGTAGTTGAATTAAGCAGACAGGATATTCAATTGAAAAGAATTGCTCATTTTTAAGATGTGAAAGCGACGATATGGTTATGTGGGTGACAACATTTTATATTTTAAATATACTCTGGTAGTTATGAATAAGATGTAAAACTTTGTCATGTTGGGGTAAGAATAAACCAGACATGGGAGAGGTATAAATGTCATAAGAGTAGCCATGAGTGGATGATGATCATAGCTATATGAATACACAATGGTTTGTTTTCTTTCTGTAATAGGAATGTTTTAACTCAAAAACTACAATGTTAAAAAGATGGAAAGGAAAGCGTATTTTTTAATACATAATAGAATAGGTAAATGTTTAACTCAAAAACCACAATGTTAAAGAAAAAGATGGAAAGGAAAGCCTGTTTTTTAATACATAATAGAATAGGTAAATGTTTGACTTTACTAGAAAATACAAGTTACATCAAAATTTTGATATCTTCCCTACCCATCAGATTGACAAGAAATTTAGAAATCTAACAGTATTCTGAAATGGCACAGTGAAATACTAGAGCATCTACAAATGGGTAAGCCAGGCTAGGGATATAGCTCAGTGAACAGCACTTGCCTTGGATGTTTAATTCCTGGGTTCAAAACCCTAGCACTGAAAAAGAAATCTTTACCAGCTTCAGTAAATACTAAAAAAAACAATATAAAATGAAAACGGCATATTACATAGCAGCAATTAAGTATGATAAAAATCAGAGAAGAGTCTTTAAATATTCAAAACAGTACAGTATGCTGCTTTAAGATAATGTACATGTAGTGAAGTTTAAAATTGGACACCTGCTAATTTCAGCAGATTAGGGAGGATTGGAACCAAAGAAAACAATGTCAATAACAAGCTAGTATGCCCAAAAACTATTAGTCATTAAATGTAGGGGGAACTATGTAGGCATTTATGAGGTTATTCTCTTAAGTTTCAGTGTGTTTGAAATTAAAGTAAGTTGGAGGGGGCTGTTTGTGTGTTTTAAGGAAATAAATAAAAAGAGCCATTGGTGTCTCATGTCCTTTATGTGATTTGGAAAGTAGATGCCAACCTAAGTTGTAAAATCATCATGAGTAATGGCAGTTCATCTTGAACCCATTGGTTTTTCTATATTTTGTCTCAAGTAACTGCATTATCAACAATTAAGGAAAGTGTAAGGATTAAAAAGCTAGCATCAAGCCGGGCGTGGTGGCGCACGCCTTTAATCCCAGCACTCGGGAGGCAGAGTCAGGAGGATCTTTGTGAGTTCGAGGCCAGCCTGGGCTACCAAGTGAGCTCCAGGAAAGGCGCAAAAAGCTACACAGAGAAACCCTGTCTC